TTCCAAGAAAAACTACCCACTCTTCTTCTTCTTCATCGTGTTTCCTTCTTTCTTTACAAACTAGAAAATTTCCTTTCTTTCTCTCAAAATACCTCCCCATCGCCACCACTAAAATCAACCAAGAAAAATGGTGAGATCGAGAACGGCCCCAACCCTAGACAGAGTTTCGAACGTTTCTAAACAGCCGAAGCAGAGGCACGCTTCAAAACCATTCAGCAATGCCAAGTCTATTTGGAAGATGCATTCGTTTTTCCAGCCGAGTGAGAAGAGCAGTTTGGCCCTGAGGTGATAGACGTCATAAAGAAGCATAACTGAGAGAAGTTTGCTCGTAATCCTAACGTCGTAGTACCAAAAATGGTGAGGGAGTTCTATGCCCACCTCGCAGACATATCCAACCACACGATATATGTTGGAGGAAAACTCATTCGCTTTTCCCCTTCTGTACTTAACAAATACTTTAAGTTGGGGAAAGTGGATGACCAGCACAAGAGATTTGTGGCTGAGGCAGATGAAGAAATGTACAGTGGAGTTCTACAGGATTTATGTTTTGGGTGGGCCAAGTTCGAAGGGAATGCCCTCATAAGAAAGCGAGTAGATCGTCGAGCCCTCAAACCACACGAGAAACTATGGAACCATTTTCTTAAAGGCAAGCTGATGCCAACGTCCCACAATACCATTGTCCTCGTTAAGCGGCTAATGCTGTTGCACTCGATCATATACGGTAGGACGATCGATGTTGGTGAGATCATCTTTGAGCAGATCCATGACTGTGCCAAGAAGAACCGTGGTAACCTACTATTCCCAAACAACCGCGCTGTGCAGAAAGAAAAAGGTTCCTAAGGAACCATTCGAAGACTTCATCAAACCCAATGAGGGTATTACAAAGAAAAAGGTCCCCGAGTTGATGAGTTTCAGTGATGACGACCCAAAGGAGGGTCTGGAGCGAGGAGCAAAATCGGTTGCCGCGACTAGAATGGTCGTTATGGTCAAGCACACGCGTGAGACGTGTGAAAAGATCGGGCGCTTGGAGGACCAAATGAAAATTGACTTTGAATACGCCAAGGCAAGGGACATGAAAATCAACGTCTTCATCAAGGAGTTGCTCCCAACCACAATGATCAAACTGCCAATCTTCCCCAATGTCATCCTCAACTACAATGCGGGCGGCATCACATTTCATGCCTCGACCTTTTATATCCCTCCAGGTGTTCCACCAGAGGTGCCCAGCGATGTGCCACCATTTTCAACTCATGTCCCACCCGTACCAGAAGAACGCCAAGGAGACACCGATGAGTTCCTCATCCTTCTCCACCACCGAAAGTAGCAGTGATATTCCACCCCATTTCTTCACTGATGAAGATTTCACGCCAGCACCGAAGCAGCCTGAGTAGGATCATATTCCATCCCCAGTTCTATTAACACCACCAGCCCCAAGAGCAGCTCCTAGTCCACTACCAGTTCTAGCACAACCGACTCCCGTGACCGAGCAATCCACTCCAGCCGACCAGCAAGAAGCGATACAATAGAACGACAAGGCGTATACTTAAACCGTATCCTTATAAGCCAGAAGTAGTAGACTCGGGATCCGAGAGCCCTTCCCCTCCCAAACGATGTCGCACGAGGGCGTCCAGTCAAGCCACACCACTACAGTAAGTTTTTGTAGTTTTCATTTTTTTTCGCATTTGCATATAACATCATTTAGTTTAGTTTTCATGCATTGAGGACAATGTATCCCTTAAGTTTGGGGGAGGTGTTTTCCATTCTGCCATACTTTGTTAAATAGTAATTGATGTTAATTGGTTGAAAATTTTGGTTGTCATGACATAAGCAAGTTAGGATTATTGTTAGGAATGAATTAGGGATGCCTAATGATGAATGCAAAATTTTATTGCCTAGGCCAGAATTATTGTAAAGACTGTCTGAAGAAGAGAACCAACCCTAGGCTTGATCCTTTGAAACTTATAAACACAATTGTAGGCTATCTTTACTCTAGGTAATCTGTAAAATTTTTAGGAAATAACTTTCTAATTGCCGAGACTTCAAAAATATTCTAAGGGTAAGGTAAAAACTCTCTAGTGTTTAAAAACTTGAAAACTCGAAAAATACAAATTGACACTCTTATGTGCAAAGGCATGAATAATAAAAACTCCAAAAGAAATTAAGAGTAGCTAAGGCATATGAGTGAATAAAAGTAGTCACATGATGACTCTGCCCGACTAGCTTGGGGGTGGAAGGTATGCTCCCTTTCACCTAGAGTATAGAACAGTAGTTGTGATGAGTCGACTCCCCTATAAAAAAAGTTTGAATAAAGAGAATAAAATTTGGTAAATAACTAGGAGTATAAACTAAGCCTAATGAATAATTTATTGCCTTGACAACCTAGAAGTGCTTACTTTAAGTTTTCTAATTACCTCTATGCATAGTATGGTTACAATCACGCACACATAATAGCAAAGGATCCTGACTAGGGAAGGGACTTGACTAATATGACTGTCGAACATGTTGAGGCCACATATTTTTGCTGAGGGTTGAAATCTCAAACTTGATGATGTTCATGATACTGCTTTGTCATGACAATTTTGATTTTCTTCTAGTTATTATCCATTGCTTAAGGACAACCAATAGCTTAAGTTTGGGGGGTGTGATAACTCCATAAAAAGACTTAAATTCTAGTCTTTCCACTTAAGTTATTGCTCGTCTAAACAAAGTATGCACTCCATTTTTAGTTGCATTTAGTTACATATAGGTTATGGTGGATAAGTTTTGCCTAGGCAATATTTATTTGGTTTAACTGATGCTACTGAGGAGAAGGGGTTGTTTGAGTTGTGTTTGTGTAGGAATTCTACAGAGGAAGAACAATTCAGTCGTGACAATGAAACATTGTAAAGGCCAATGGAGCAGATGAGAACGTGAGGAGCAGATTTATCTCGCCGAGGCAAGATTTATCTGAAGAAGTCTGAAGCAAATGTGGTAAAACCGCCTATGTCATATGCCAGCTGGATAACCTCCTTCACGTGCAAGCAAGCCTTGAATATCCTGACAACCGCCAGCTGCATTTCCTTTTTAAGTTTGGGAAATTAATAACGGCTAATTAAGGAAACTCCAAAAGCATGCAAAGCCCTATGAGATTCTCCTTATAATTACCAGCTGTAGCCGTAAAAAGAAGGGGGCAAGGAAGAAAAAAGAAGAGTTTTACCTTAGGTGTGAGCAAGAAACTATAGTGCTTTCCCTTCGTCTACCCCCCAGTCTTCCTTGGTGTCATCCATAGCCAGACGATAGCAGAGCAGTGATCAGGCCTTGAGAGAGGGTGATCACCAAGGCAGGCGTGGTGCTGATCAGGATTGTCACGACAGAGCCCCCGGTTTTGGGAGTCGTTCTTCCTTTGTTCTTAAACTCTTATTTTATTTGGGGTTATATTAAATAATTTAATCTTGGATGATCTTTGATAATACCATGAATGCTTTACTTGGTGTTAAACTTTTTTTTTCCTGAACAATATTTTATGTTTATGAATGATGAATTATGTTTGCTTATGACTGTTTTGCTCATAGTTTAAATATTTTACCTTAACACTGTAAGAGCGTCGAGAGATCGCCTGGGGTTTCAGTAAAACATGTCTGGGCATTGTAAGAGCATCGAGAGATATCATTTTGTCTAGAAAGTGATTCTTGAATTTGAGAGAATTAAGAGAGATCAACGTGAGCAAAGGAATGAATCCGAGATGGTGAAGTTCTAATTTGTCTACCTTAGAGATAAGGAGTGAGTTTCAAACGACTAAAAGGGATAAAGGCTAGAGTAGGTTAAGACAACGTCTATAGTTAACGCCGAGAGGTATTGCCATAACAACCGTCTAAGAATACCTAGTAATCCTGTCATGAAATTTAGTGAGTCATAATAATTCATTTTGGGCTTAAAATAATTGTTGTCGAGACAATGATTTAGCATCAGTGCTCTGTGACACGTCTGAATATGTGAGGCTGATCGCATTATATTTAATCTAATACTTGTTTTGTTTGGTTTTATATGTCTGCATATTTTCTTTGTCTCGACCACACTTGTCTGAAATCATTAAATCATTATTCTTAGCTTCTTAATATTAGTTCTTAGCTTTAATACTTAGTAGGATTATTTTGTGGCATTAATTCTAGTTGTGGTGAAAAGATATTTCTAATCTAATCCCTGTGGAGACGATACTCACTCATTGCTATATTACTTGCATCGATTGTGTATACTTGCACAAATTAGCTTGCCTTAGCATATACATTCACAAGCGATCACTCTCTTTCTACAAATGGTTCTTCACATCTATGGATGTCACTTTTCATGAGCATAAACCATTCTTCTCAAAAATCGAAATCCAGGGGGAGAGTGAATCTGAATTTCAATTTTTACCAATTATTACTGAGTTACCCATCTTCTAATGGAAAAACTACCACTCCACAACCTCTTAACACCACCACATCTGATAATGAAAACCAATCCATTAATCCCATCGACTCTCATAAAACACCCAGGCCATCTACCGATATTCTCACCTATACAAGATGACCCAAACAAGACCTACCTTCTACACTGTAGCTAATACATTGTCAATAGCCTGAACTAAGTTTAAATCCATCGATAGACAAAGGAGATGATGACCAAAGTAAGTTGGATGTGGTAATTGATACTAGTGAGTTACCAATTGCTCAAAGAAAGGGAGTTAGATGATGTACAACTCATTCGATTGGTAAATTTATTGATATGGGAAACTAATGTTTGGTTTTAAGACTTTCACAGCTCAGGTTGATCATATTCACATTCCAGAAACCATAGAGGAGACATTAAAAAGCCCTGAGTGGAATAAGGAAGTTGAAAGAGAAATTTCAGCTCTAGAAAACAACAAAAACCTGGGTCATCATTGATCTACCTAAGGACAAGAAACTTGTCGGCTACAAATGGGTTATCACTCAGACTTATGGAGTTGACTATCAGGAGGACCTTTGCTCCAATTGCAAAACTCAACACTGTTCGAGTTCTATTATCCTTGGCAGTAAACAAGGATTGGATACTTCACCAACTAGATGTGAAAAATGCATTTCTCAATGGAAATCTTGAAGAAGAAGTCTATATGCAAGTTCCACCAGGAATTCATTCTGGGAATAACCGGATATGTAAACTACTAAAATCATTATATGGTGTCGCAGCCGTCTTTCGGTTGGACCCAGAATTGGGATTCGACTTGGATTAAACGAATTAGGAGTCACCACCGATCATTTATTTTAAGAATAAAACAGGTTGATCGGATACCTCGATTTTTACCTGATCTGTATTTTACTATAAATGTGTCGGGTTTGGGAGTTGGTTACGGTCAAGGAAGGATTAGCACTATTGAACAACCCTTTCGGTACTAATTAATTTATTGGTTGCCTTTAATTACGAAAATTAAAATTAAAATTAAAACTTAAAATTCAATTCGAATTAATTAACTTTGATCGATTTAAATTACTACTGAAAAAATTTAAAAATATGTTAGATAATAAATAATAAATGAATATTAAAAAATCAAAGGGAAAAATAAAACTATAAAAAAAATTAAAATTTAAAAACACGAAAAGATAAAAAACCTTTAAAAAGTGCAGTTCCAAGATGGCCAGGAAATTGAAAATTGTACCATATCTATAAATAAACAAGTTCTGGTGGTAAATGCTCGTATCAAACTGGCTCTTTAAAGCATATTCATTAAAGATAGATGTCATTGATGGGACAATAAAAAAATTAGAGTGTACATGTATGCGCCTGTTGCAACTGGAAGATCAAATAAAGTAGTAACCTCTGGTAAAGACCACAACTGGTTTATATTCCCTTCCTTTGTATTACATTTACGGTTGGTAGTACATCACAGGTCGTTGCCCAAGAAGCATATGCTGCCCATACTATGGCCCACTTGGATGAAAATATACTTGAGGTGATTGCATCATTTCTACTCTCTGTTTCCTTAACTTCCTTATCGAATTCTCCAGACGAAGATGCAACAACTCCAAAAATAAAACTGATATCATCAACAATGTTTACAGTTGAGGAAGCTTTCTTCACACTAGATGCTACTTCAGGTCCTCTCTTGTTTTGTCCATCAAACATGAGATCCAAATTGTTATCTCTTGGGCTTGGAGAACTGCTGGGTCGAGAACCCACAAAAAAGGATTCGAGATCGTCATCATTCTTTTGTTGGCTTACCCTCGCAGAAGCAGCTGATATTTCCCTAGCCTCAAATACTGCCCTTTCACGGGCTTTAGCTTATGCTTTCTGCATTGCAGCTCTTTTGTTTCCCCCTTTTTATTTTCATTTTTACAGGCCCCACCGCCACTTCATTGCCCCAGAGCTTTGCATTGGGTCGTTGGTTGAAGCAGAGTTGAAAAGTAAGGTCCAGAGAGAGTGCGAAAAGCCCCATTTTCTCTAAAATGTTTCTCTTTTTTATAGGAGTATTTTGGAAGGCTTTGTGCTTCGTGTAATCAAGTTTATTAGCTTAGTGTGTGGGGTAGTGAAATGGTGGAGATAGTGGGAGTTGTTGGGTAGTTGAGATAATAGTGGGTGCCTGCAAAAAAATAAAATAATAATAATAATAATATAATAATAATAATAAATAAATAATAATAATAATAATAAATAAATAATATAATAAAATATTTTGTAGACCAGACAAAAATGGGTGTCTACAACTGCCCCTCTTTGCATATTTTTGCGTTAACAAGAATAGGGTAAAGACGAAAAAAGACAATCAGTTTTTGTCTGGTGTTCTTAAATGTGATTGGGCTTCCTGGAATTGGGCCTTTGTCTTATTCTCGGTTTAAAGATTTTGGCTTGAAAATTTCTTCCAGAAAGTAGTTCATCGTTGTCATCGAGCTGAATGAAATCGAACACGTCAAGTCTTTGGTTGGCATATAGCCCTTCTCGACTTAAGCTATGCTGCAAATGATGTGCCTTGGAGTTGAGCGTATTCGAAATCGAAGGTTTGGTGTTTCACGAGAAACATTTTCAAAGGTTTTTTTTTGTGTTTCAAGAGAAACTGTCTCAAGGGAGGCAAAATTTTGTTTCAATAGAAACATATTCAAAGATTGGTGTTTCAAGAGAAACTGTCTCAAGAGAGACAAAACTTTGTTTCAAGGGAAACTGTCTCAAGAGAGACAAAATTTGTTTCAAGAGAAACTATCTCAAGAGAGACAAAACTTAGTTCCGAAAGAAACTGTCTCAAGGGAGACGAAATTTGTTTCAAGAAAAACATATTCAAAGATTTTGTTTCAAGGGAAACTGTCTCAAGAGAGAAAAAATTTGTTTCAAGGGAAACTGTCTCAAGAGAGACAAAATTTGTTTCAAGAGAAACTATCTCAGCGGAGACGAAATTTGTTTAATGTAAAACATATTCAAAGATTTTGTTTCAAAGGAAACTGTCTCGAGAGAGAAAAAAGTTGTTTCAAGGGAAACTGTCTCTAGACAGATAAAATTTGTTTCAAGAGAAATTGTCTCAAGAGAGACAAAACTTTGTTTTGAGTAAATTAGTCTCAAGCGAGACGACCCCTTGTTTCGAGAGAAACAATCTCAAAGGCGATCGATAATCTACTTGTTCCTGAAGATGAATGTTGCTGGTGGGTACAATTCCCTTCATCGTGACGTTGAAACTGTGGTGGCCCATTCATTGTGAAGTTGAGCCTTGAATTGGATATCCTTTGTCATGAAGTTAAAACCATGGATAACCCCTTCGTCGTGAAGTTGATCCTTAACTTGAATATCCTTCGTCGTGAAGTTGAAATCCAAGCTTGTACTATTTTGAGTCCAATATTCTTCGCCGTGAAGTTGAAATTGGCTCTGAATGAAACTGGGAAGCCCCTTCTCCGTGAAGTTGAGATTTGAATTGGATATCCTTCGTCGTGAAATTGAAATCCAATCTAGAGTTGGAATGATATCTTTCATTGTGAAGTTGAAATCGTGGATGGCCCGTTCGTTATGAAGTTGAGCCTTGACTTGAATATTCTTTGTCGTGAAGTTGAAATCCAAGTATTGAATGTTGTTTGGAGTTGGATATCCTTCGTCGTGAAGTTGAAATCCAATCTCGAGCAAATTGTGTCACTTTGAGTCCAACATCCTTCACTGTGAAGTTAAAATTGACTCTGAGAGAGACTCGAAAAGTTGTTTGTCGTCAGACAGTCGCCCCTTCGCTGTGAGGTTGAGCAACCACCCTCAACTTTTGAATGTGCTTTTGAATCAAGTATATTTCGTCTTGAAGTTGACACTTGACTCAAAAAGCTGCAAAAAATTATGTATGATAAAAATGATAAGTGTGATGTCTAAGATGCATGCAACATGAATTAATTCTTTTTATCTCCTGGATGGAGCCTCATTCTTTGTCTTCTTGTTCCTGCATGTGGAGGAAAGGCATTCAGAAGATCTGATAATTCGCATCAGGATGTTGAATCCTCAAAGATGCCCTAATATTCGATATTGAATCTTCAAAGATGCCCTCATTGTTCCTCATTTCTTGCTTCAACATTGATTCTAAGCATGAGTTTTGTGTCTAAGAGCCACATGACATTTACCAAGATCCACTCTATAAAGATTGTCTTGTTTACTTTTTTTTCTTTCTCTTTTATTTTCAAAGTTCTAAAAATGTCAATTAAAAGAGTTTCAAAAAATGTTTAACCAAAAGTTTTGAAAATATTGTCCCTTTCACGATTTTACAATTGAGACGAATCATAAAACTAGAGTTCATTGGATATCAAAGAATTAATTACATTGTTAATCCTTCAATAAATTATAGTTGTTTGACAAGTGCTAAGATCAAAGCTATCTTTGGGAAATGGTTAAACAAGGGAAAAAAGTCTCAGGTTATTGTGTTTGGTCAATGATTTGGTATTTTTTTATTTGATTCTCAATGGTTTCATGGGGTAGCTCGCATGCTCCTTTATTGGAAGTGTTCTCTAACTCCCAGCTTTCATGGTCACACTCAGATTGTGCGATGCTTTATCAAGGAATTTGTATATTCGAGCTACCTTTTTAGGTTTTCAACTCGAATTCTCCTTTGGTTTCAAGGCGTAATTAGAATCCACGTCTTGAACCCCCTTTATTTTTTTCCTCTATCATGCATTAAAGATTTTAGAAAACTTTTTGCAAATAAAGATTAATCCTGATGGGTGGGATGAAATCTGAAGATAATCTCTTCTGTTCAGAAGTCCATGTATGATTGGAAGAGACTTTTAAGGCACGTAACATAGGCCATGGTTCATGGTTATGAAAGAAAAGGATAAATAGACCCAAACAAGTGTTCCAGGGTATTGAACCAATGATCAATTCATTTTGATGCCTTCAATCCTGTCTTGCTCAATTTGAATCTGCTCATATGTGTTTCTCTTGATTTTCTCTGGATGCTACATGAACTTCGAGTGAAGTGATTCTGGAATGATTGTGCTTGATCAATCTCATAATTTGAATCTCGATGCGTCATTTGAATCGAGAGAATCTTTGCATATGTGTATTGTTTTCTTTTTTCTTTATTTTTCCTTTGTTTTTGTTTTTGTTTTTGTTTTTTTTATTTAATTTTATTTCTTTGTTTTTCTCTTTTTTCTTCTTCTCTTTTTGTTCTTGATTTGATCTCCGCACTTGGCACTTGGTTCACCTTTTGGCATCTCCTTAGATTGATGTCTTCACTCATGTGAGCAGATTTCTTCCACATTGCCCCCGAGTGTGGAGGGTGATCCTTGGTTAGGGTTGAATCAGAGAAAAATACTATAGGCTCAAAAGGGGACACAAGGGATATATATTTTCTCCTGTTGTGAAGCGATAAAGAAATAAAGACGTTCATCATTTCATACATGGAAGTCTTCACAGAATAGGTATCCCCAGGGGGATAGATTTTCAGGATTAATTTTTCACATGAAAACAATGTAATTAATGCATGATAGAATTATTTAGAACAAGTTCTTCTTTTTCTTCTGCTCAACATGTCTCAATGTTCAGGCTCCCTGCGAGATGCCCCAAGTTGTGTCTTAGAAGAATGCTCATGTTCAAATGAACAACTCAATGCCTTAGGTTTTAATGATATAAAAATGTCAATTTTGAGTCTAAAAAGACAATGGTGTTATTTTATTGACTCAAAGAAAGGTATGGGTATGACTCTTTGTGCATCGAAAAGATAAAGGCAATGTTCAAAAGTTTCAAAGGGTTATAATATCAAAATCTGCTCTTTTGGTAATGACCATGAGTTATATTGGGTAAAGAATCAAGATACTTTATTTTGGGGTTTTTAGGCAGGATAAGATAGGTATACTCTTGTCATATGTCAAAAATCTATAATTCTTGAAGAATTAAAAGAATCCTCAATTCATTTAATATTCAAAGAACTAAAGATTAAAACTCGTTCAATTATTCCACCTTAAAAGGTAGCATAACTTCAATCATTTAAAAGATTAAGAAAATATGAAAGATCAAAAACGTGTTCAAACAAGACAATGCTCCCCAATGTAAATGGTAGATGCAATGCCCCCTTCTTTGATTGTCCATGCTCCTGAATCCATCAGGTTTTGAATCTTGTGCTTCAGTATCTTACAGTTATCAGAGGAATGTCTAGAGTTTCCCACAAAGATTCAACATCATAGCCCTTAGGATATGGGGACTCTTTTCTCATATCATCCTGGCAGGCTGTCCTACAATCAGTTGATCAGGCTCCTACTGTACTGATTTCAATTTTTTTCTTTAATTGTTAAAATCTTGCTTTTATGTGGTGTCATATGGTTAAGAACACTTCATCAAATCCTCCATGAAGAAATTTCATGTTTATGAAAATGCTTAAAAATGAAATGTAGATGCAAAATGCAAAAATGCATGAAATGTTCGAGGCATTGATCCGAAAACATGTATGTTATTATAAATAATCTTTATTGGGACAAAAGTGTTTTATCTTTTAAGAGACAAAATATATTCT